GATACTTTAACCAGGGAGTCTAAGAGTTCTTTGTACATTCTGGAGGAAAGTCCTTAAACAGATACATTTCAAAATATTTTACCCCAGTCTGTTGCTGTTCATATTTGTATTGTTATGTTTCAGAAAGTAAAAGTTGTAAGTTTTGGTGAAATTTGGTGTTTCAATTCTCTTTTATTGTTATTTTTTTACTAAGAAATCTTTGCTTTACCTGAGGCAATAATGACTTTCTCTTATGTTTTCTTCTAGATGTTTTATAGTTTTAGCTCTCACATTTAGATCTGGAATCCATTTTTAATTCATTTTTGTGTACAACAAAAGTTAAAATGCCCCCCCCTTACCCCATGGCATATGGAAATTCATTTATTCCCACACCATTTGTAAAACGACCAATCCTTTGCATGGACTTCCATAGCTCTGTTGTTGATTTTTAACTGACTACACTATTAGGAGTCTGTTTCTAGACCGTTTTCTTCCATTGTCTGTCTTTGCCACAGTGCCTTCAGTTACGATACCTTTACTATCTGTCTTGAAATTGAGAAATAACAGGCTCTCCTGTTTTCTTCTACCTTTTAAAACTTGATTTCACTTTTTAGGTTCTTCACATTTCCACGTGAATTTTAGATTTATCATTTTTACAAAGCGCTCTCAGTTTTTACTGAGATTACACTGAATCTACAGATAATTTTGAGAGAATTGTTATGCTAGCGTTGAACCTCCTAATCCATGACCATATCCCTATATGTTTAGATTTCTCATTTCTCTAGGAATGTTTGTAATTTTCAGTATATAGGTCTCTGACATATTTTAAGTTTCTCTGTTTAATTCCATCATGCTATTGTAAATTTTATTTTCAATTACTGATCACTTATCACTGTGTCGAGTAATACGCTTTTTATATATTGACTTTGTATTTTGCAATCTTGCTAAACTCACTTATTCTAGTAACTTTTAATGTCTGTAAGATCTGTAGTGATGTTTCCTCTTTCCTGAGATTGGGAATTTATATAATCCCTTTGTCTTGACCAGTCTGGTGAAAGGTTTATTAATTTTTAAAATTCTATATTTTTAAAGACTCAGGTTTTGATTTTATTAATTTTTTCTCTTTTGTCTGTTTATGATTTCACAAATTTATGCTCTTACCATCATATTTTTCCCCTTCAGCTTACTTCAGTTTTAATTTGCTCATTTTTTAGATTCTGTCTTTTTTTTTCTTTTCTGAGAGATTTTTGCTATAGGATGTGTGCACTCACCAGACAGACAGAGACAGAAAGCAAGAAATTCCCCCCTGGGGAGATGGCCATGCCGCAGTTCCTTCTCCT